GCTTGGATTTAAGGAATTTTCCTGTTTGTTTTGCATTTCAAGTCTTGTATCTTACAGTTTCATGTACTTTGACTTAACATGTCTTATTTTTTTCCAATTATTTTTCCAGTCACATCTGCCAGCATTGATTTAAAAGCCAAGCTGTGTATTTGTTTTGTGTGGAAATTAGTTTTGTGTTTTGCAATAATCATATCTAATTTGATTCAAAATTAACTTTACCATCAGGAATTTAAAAACTAAACAGTGTTTCTAAAGTATATTTATAAAAAAAAAAAAAATAGTCAAGCCATGCTTCCACTGACATATTCAAAGAGGATTTCTCCAGTTGTTAACAGATCCGAATGACTTTGATTTCATTTTCAAAGCAAAGGTTCTACTTGAAAGCTTCTAAAAGATTCGGTTTTCATTTTATCCTTGCAGTTTTTCGTGATGCTCCTGTTTCCTGAATACAAATAACCCTTGTGAGCTTGATATGTCAGAACTGACAAGCCTAGCACTCATTGATTCGAAGAATTATGATAATTGGCAACAGTTACTGACTGCCCGACCTTCATCAATATTCTATACATCAGCATTGCTCCTTGCAGACCGGCACTGGAAACCCCAGCTACAGTTGAAACGTCTATGACTTCAGGTCAGGGGATAACTAGGAGCAGACGTGGCCTCTCAGAATGGCAACCAGAATACAGGATGCTTGTTTGTAGCTTTCTATTTATAGTCAATAGCAAAAAAACACAGTGGCACAAGGCTATTACTCTTGAAATATGATGACTGTGGAATTCAATTGGGTGTCAGCTGACATTGTGATACTCGCTTGACTGTAACAATGTACAGTGTAGTAGCGCTACTTTACTGTCACTTCATGGTTTTACCTTAATCTACAAATAAAAATAGCGTACTATATTTTAGTTATTATAAGGGCTCATATGTTTTTAGAAATAAAATAAATGTTAAAAAATCCAATAATTTATCAATTAAACAGTATTAATCCATATTTTTCTGGCAAAAACATAATAAGTGGTTTGAATAAATTTCAGTTATGGGGACAGCATTAAATGTGAACAGGTACATTTATATTAAAGGGGTCATTGGATGCAAAATTCACTTTTACATGTTGTTTGAACTGAAATGTGTGTTGGCAGTGTGTGTACACAACCACCCTATAATGATAAAAATCCACCCAGTGGTTTTTTAAAAATCCACATAAATAATATCCCCTTCTCAGATTCGGGGATGTGTGATGTCACACAGACCCAGGTCCCTCCCACGATTGTTCATTGACACGGCCGTCTTACCTTAGACCTGCCCTGAGTGTTTGTCATCGATCTGCCATTGTTTCGTTGTTGGAGCAGATGTAGAAAAGAATGAGCGATTTAGGTGTTTTGTTGTTGGATGTAATAATGAGCATAGCAGTCATCATTTACTCCCGACATCTGATCCACTGAAGATGCAGTGGAGTACGTTTGTTGGGGAATGCAATCTGCCTAAATGCATCTATGTTCGCACAAATAATTTGTGATTCAGCTTCACCTCCAGAAGAAGCAAGTATAAGTTATTTTTTTCATAAATTTGGCAAATTGCATTTCCTAATAATGTGCTAGTTAGCAAGTTTCAAGATGAATGCGACTAAAGTTTACAGTCTCTCAGAGAACTGTGCGTCACCCCACGGAGGGAGAGGGGCGGGGATAGCAGAGCTCATTAGCATTTAAAGGGAAATACACTGAAACGGCTTGCTGTGAAAAGAGCTGTTTTTGACAGAGTAAAAAGGGTGTTGTTTTACACTACCATTGAGAAATTTTAACCAAAGTATGTTATAGACTTTTCATTAAGACCCTAAAGAATCATATCAACTTGTGGAAAATGGGCATCCAATGACCCCTTTAAATGCAATACAAAAACGCCTAAGATACAGTTGAGTAGAAATTTAGCCTAGGTATTGGAATCTGTGAATCAGTTGTGAATCTGTTCAATTAGATGAACAATCTAAAGTCGAATCGCACAATTAAAACTGAAACAATGGTACAAAATAGAATTTTAAGTGAATGAATATAGTAGAAAATACAGTTTTTTGCAAAAGATTCAATCATATACAAGTTTTTGGATAGTGTCAGGAGTATGTTATTGGAATCTGTAGATAAGAGTTGTGAATCTGTTCATTTAGATTAACTATCTAAACAAGAATCGGACCATTGAATCTAAAACAATGGTACAATAAAAACTTTAAGTGACTGAATATAGTATAAAAAAAACATATATCTGAAGGTTTTTTTTTGCAAAATATTCAAACATATACAAGTTTTGTGACAGTGTGGGGAGAATCTATTATCTTGAATCTGTGAATCAATATAAGAAAGCAGACTAATCGGTTCATTTAGATGAACCATCTAAACAAACTATTCACTAGAAATGTGAATAGGAAAAATATGAGAAAGCAGACCATTTAGCATGAACTAGAATGAATCAGACTTTCCAAAGCTACATATGAAAGTGAGGATGTTTAAGGTGAGTGTTTGCTTATTGCTTCAACAAATAAACTTATCATTTGATAAAGTAGCTCCTTACTACAAGGTACAGTACACACTTTGAAAATTATGAAAATAGCTGAACTGTTGTTGCAATGCTGGAAAATGTATTTAAGTTAGTAATACCACCATTTTTAGCTACACTAGGTACTCCTGATGTCAGTGCTGATTCTCCTTTAAAAATATTTTTTATTCTAAGCCAATACTTAACCTTTTCCATGACTCTGGCCTTTTGTGTTGATGTCCTGTTAATTGCCTCTGTCCTTGGTGTCATTCCAGCACTGGACGCACATTCACAGGTCACCTTAACATGCTAGTTCTTGTTTTCCAAAATCTAATTTGACTCCATGCTGAAAACTCCAGCATGAGTGAAAAGGACCAGCTTTGGTTTTCCACTAGTTTATTTCTAGTGTAATGTGCTTCTAAATACACATTGTGATGAACAGAGAGAGCAGATGTCTATTGCACAAACAGAGCCCATGACCCATTTTCATGTAAATTTGTCAACTTTGTCAAGCTAATAAACATTGCAAGATTACTCTAAATGTTAGTTTTTAGTGAATTTGTCTAGGATTTCTTATATTTGTTTGTTCTGCTGATTTTCTTCTTTTGCTAGCTTTTGCAGCATTTTCATTTATAAATGATTGTTGATGTCATGGCAGTAAACATTACTTTTTTTATGGTGTACTTGTTTCACTTCCCATTTTGTTTTGTGTGTCTGTGCTTGTTTAGTAACTAGCCAGATGTTTATGAAATTCTATTTTATTATTAAACATAAATGAGAAGTTTATGAGAAGATGTACACTGCTTTGCCTCTTCAGAACTGGGAACATTCATCAAGATCCCTCCATTCTGAACCACACAGACTATATTTACATATTACAAGTGCTATACTTGAGAAATAAAATCTGAAAGGAACCGAAGAAGAGCATTTGTTTGAATTACACTTTACACCAGCAGTGTTCACAGTCTAATTAAACTGCACATTAACAATTCTGTAAGTATTGATCTGGAAATCCAGAATCGCTGATCCTGGGGAAAAAAGTTTGTTTCTTGTATGCATTTAATTAGTTTTCATCTAAAAAGGTTGGATATTTTTATTGGTTAACGCAACACAAAAATGTTGGATCACTGTAGAAGTTGGGCTGGTAGCATAATGGTTAGGAATCAAGGCTGCTTTTCTAATTTATTTTGTCTTTAAGCATTTAAAAGTTCTTGAATAAAACTAACCAGCATTCGGGTGAATCACAACAGTGAGACATATGATTTGAAGAGAGCTATTTAGAAATTGGGCGGAGGGGGGTATCTGATTAGAGGTCAAAATGAGACACTGAAGTGCTCATCCTAAGATGGCTTGCAAATAACGCAACAGAATCTGAAACAACGGTACAATATAAAACTTTCAGTGATTGAATACAGTATAAAATTTCATATATTTTAAGTTTTTTACAAAATAATTAAACATACACAAGTTGTGTGACGAAAGAAGGTTCTAAAGGTAAGAAAGAGATGGTTCTTTAAAGAACCTTTGACTGAATGGTTCTTTGTGGAACCAAAAATGGTTCTTCTATGGCATCTCTGTGAAGAACTTTTTAAAGCACCTTTATTTTTAAGAGTGTATCAGGAAAATCAGTTATGTCATTTACAATGCTCGATAGGAGTGGGTGGTCACTTTTGAGCAATTTTGCTGGAATTCTGGTTTCCATAGTAACAGCGACTTCTCTGATTGGTAAAATCACCCTTCTGGATTATCTCATTACTTCTGAATAAATTAAGAAATTAAATCGGAACATCAAATGGCATATAAAATTTGTAATCATAAGGTTTACCACCTTGGGAAGAAACATCAAATTTCTTTCAGAACATACAGACTGAAGTCTGTGAAGCAAGCACATTGCAGTGACTTACGAATGTTTTGGACACAATACCAAGTACCATGTAAATACCATTGTAAATAAATATGATAATTGAGCATTTTAATAAGGGAAGTCAAAGGCAAGATATCACTGAATTGGTACAGTATCATTTTTCTGCCTGTCATCTATTTAGTTCTCTCTCACCTCACACTGTCCCTCGCTCGAGCAGTTTTGGCACAGGCAGAGCCTGAGAGACATGCCTCAGTGGCACCCAGTCTGAACATGAAAGCTTTTGGAGTTGTGAGAGTGTTTGTGCCGTGTATTAGGTGACAAGAGAGAGAATCTGCTGAATGAAATGAGAAACAAACTACCACTGTTTTTGTTTATCGTTGTACAGCTATTTTCAAATTATGCAATGGGCTGAAACATTTTTTTTTCTTAATCTTAATCTACAGTATGAACAGTATACAATGGGCAATTTAGTTTCAGTGTCTCAGTTAAATTTCCCTTCTTCATGATGTTACGTTTAAATGAGTCATATCATACACTTTTTATTATGATTATCATGATTCCTCATGACCTTTTTAAATTATATTAAATAATTTTTGTGAATTTTTTGCAGGTTCACCTCTGGGTCTTCAGGCTGGATTGGAGTATTTACCCCACCATGTTAAGAAGAAAATAAAGAGCAACACGCGAACACGCAGAGAGACTTATGAAGATGAGATATTTAACATCGAGGTTCTCTTGGGAGTGGACTGCTCTGTGGTGATGTTTCACGGCAGAGAGCACATCCAGAAGTACCTCCTGACCCTCATGAATATTGTAAGTTTCCCAAATCCCATTAGAAAGGATTGAAGCTTGAGGTGGTGGCTAATAGTTACAGTACTGAGTTGACCTTTATGGCCTATTATCATATGTAACGCACAAATAGTCTTTTTGATGCATACTCTTAAAAAATATAGGTTCTTTATTGGCTTCTATGGTTCCATGAAGAACATTTAACATCCATGGAAGCTTTGCATTGCGCAAAAGGTTCTGGAAAAAGATTATTTAGATTATTATAATGTTCTTCACACTACACTAAAAGTGCCAAAAGAGGGTTTTTGTATCAATGCAATATAGAAGGAACATTCTGGGTTCCCCAAAGAAAATTTCTGTGAACAGTTCTTAAAAGAACCATTTTCTTCTTAGTGTAAGGAACATTTTAATAATCTGAATAATCATTTCCATTTGAAAGAACCTTATGTCCAGTGGAAAGATTACATGTATATTAAAGGTTTTTCATGGAAGAATGCCAGTTAAGAATCCTTCACTGAAACATTTTTGGGGAAATTGCATCGCTGCAAAACCCCCCTTTTGTAAGCTTTATTTTTAAAGGGGTCATATGATGCGATTTCACGTTTCCCTTTCTCTTTGGAGTGTTACAAGCTGATTGTGCATAGATAAGATCCCTGAAGTTGCGAAGACTAAAGTCTCAAAACCAAAGAGATATTCTTTATCAAAGTTAAGACTCTGCCACACCCCCCTAAAACGGCTCGTTCTAACACGCCCCCACATATCTACCTCACTATGTGGAAATATTAGCATAATGCCGCCCAAATGTGCACGCAAAGAAAGAAGGCGTGGTTTCAGTATCTGCAGTTAGTGTTGAAGCAGCCATGTCAGGGAGACGCTGTGTGTTTCTAGGCGAAAGCAGATGCATTTAGGAATCTTTAAGATGTATTACAACAGAACAGCAATGCATTTTATGGACGACCGTTTCGTGAACCTAGGAGAGGAGGTAATTCTGACTTTGCTATGACAATCTGGTGCTTCTGAATCAGTTACTGAATCATCACTGTGTCTGTCACGCAACTCTGTTCCCCTTTCGGGCTCTGTCTTTACATTTATTTTGAAAGATGAAGCTCGCGATTATGGTAAGGGGCGTTACATTTCCGACGAGTGCTTGTGGTGTTCGGTCAATCACAATGCACTGGGTCAGCTGGCCAATCAGAGCAGACTGCGCTTGTCGGAAGGAGGGACTTTGTAGAAAACGAAGCGTTTGAGAGAGGCGGGGCATAGAGGACCTACAATAATGTACAGTATTTGAAAAAGAATGTGTTTTTTGAACATTAAAGCATGTCAACATATTCTGTTACACCAAATACACAAAATAATGATCTTTAAAAAAGCATCATATGACCCCTTTAAGAGTGTTGGGAAAGTGTCCATCTACTATAAGTTACTTTGAATAAAATAAGTTAGCTTAATGGCATTTGCTAAATTAGGCATCAGCTAAATGACCAGTAATTTAGCCTCAGGAACTTATTGGTTATGTAAAAAAAATCAACATTTATCCAAAATACATTACTTTTCAGACAGCGCTATGGTTATTTACAATCATGATTTTATCATACAGACATTCACATGAATTACTTCATATTCAAACAAAGAATTTGGCATTCCTGTATACATTAAGGCTTGATGGTTGGATGTTGATCCAAACCTCCATCCATCTCCCTGACAACTGCTCTGAGTCAAGAAATTACATCCACATCCCTGACAAGGTTTCCTACCTGAAAGATTGATGTACTTGAGATCCTCGACAAGACCAGACTCGCAATGAACTTGCTGTCGACCCTTCACAACTAAACATTTTCTGACTTCCCCATCTGATTTTCTTTTTCATTTTGATTAATTTTTTGCCAAAAATGTCACAAAAACAGACCCAAATGCATAGGCGGAGTTTCACTTTTATGCTTGGGGGGGCACCCACTGGCAGATGAGCCACGAACACTTTTTAATATCTTCTACATTTCATATATCTATATAACATATAACATTCGACATTAAAAAACACAAAAAAACATACCTATTGCAGAAAAGCCGCCTCTTTTTTCCGAATTGCGTAGATGACCACTGTCTTTCTTTCACTATCTCTTCTCTTCTTATAGTTTTTCAGTCAAATCGTTCTCTATGTGCAGTAAGAAAGATCTGAGAATCTGTCCTGTGCCACTGAAGATCGGAGCCAGATTCTCCTCATAAATGAGAAACTTTCTGATGTAGCTGAACCAATGGGCAGCGTAAGTGTAAACTGCAGTAATCTGAAAAAGTTTAGATATTTGTCCTTCCGTAGCCTACTTCATCTTTAAGTTTCTCAAGTGTAATCGGCGATGCGATCGCACATTTCACAAGATCCATTTCAGCTGTCACAAGCCGAGGGTGAATCTTAAGGCTTGCGTACATGCTTAAACTGAATACTGCATCACACGCCACACTCAAGGCCATCGCTTCAAATCGCCTGTGCAATTGAGCCAGAAATGACTCAGTCCACCACATTTTTATTAGCGGGTTTATAAAAAAAAAACAATGAATATTTGTTAACTTGCTAAATCGGGAAAATAACGAAAAGAGAGTCCTCTCATGTCCTCTAAAGTTGAGAATTATTCGCAACTCGCGAGGATATGGTGCTTAAATAATTAATTTAGCCCAAAACTTACTTATTCTAACCACTAAAATAATAAGATAATACAAATAAAATTAGAAAATGTGAATTCTTTAATTTTTATATTTTATTCATAGCTCAGACAAAATCATTATTGGCTCTCGTCTGGGGGGGCAGTGCCCCCCCAGCCCCCCCTAAACTCCGCCTATGCCCAAATGCTTGACCGATGTCCCATAGTCCATTTGAAAATACTTAACACCTACTTTTTCCAATGCATTGCTTAGGTGTAACAAACCTCATAATTGCCTTTAAATGCCTGTGACAATAAACTAGATGTGTTTTGCTTAGGTAGCTAACTATAAACAAGAATTGGAGTGTTTACTCTGTTTTAGTGCCCCTTGTGGCAATGTCCAAAATGTTCATATTTGTGTTCTGTTATGAACTGCAGTCTGACATTTTGTAATGCAACAACACACTAAATTGAATTTGTGTAGCTAGAGCAGTTGTCATTCTTGTACTTTGGGTATTCAAGTGACTGGACAGCGATTCCAAAGCTCTTGCAACTTTTCAACTCTATCCTTGTAATTCCCTCACTGTTCATTTTTGTTTACACGGTGGTCCCATTGCTAAGCAGAAGACAAGCTCCAATGGAAGACCTTGCTGCATTATTAATTTAGTCCTAATGATTTTCTGGCACTTTGGCCTCTTACTCGTCAATTAGCTACCTGCCAGCTACAGGCAGAGATCTAGACTAATAAAATACTGACAGGGTCCTGGAGAGGGCCAGAGACAGCCAGTGCTAATGAGAGACTGGCTGTTTAAGGTGATTAGTACGGTGTGTGTGTGTTTGTGTGTGTGGGAAAGAAGAGAAAAAAACAAGAGAGTATGTGCTGATAATAGTCATTTATGTGCCAGGTTACAGAGCTGTCATTACTGAGTGCCTGAGTAGATACATGGTTTCAGGTGGGAACAGGGTTACCTGGCACTGTTTCTCAGAAACTAATATTTCAGCTGTTTTCGTGCTTAGCAACAATGATAATGAACTGTCACCTTAACAACAGGGATACATATCTTTATTTTTTTATAAATATGTAATAATGTTAATTTAAATGTAATATAAAATGAAATGTTGAATATAATATTAAATACATTAAAACTCACAATTTGGTTACTCTAAAATGCATACATACTGTATATTTTTCATCAGACATTCCTGACATGTCAATAAATTGTCTTCATATTAAAACATTTTACATATTGAAATATCAAAAGGATTTTAAAAACAGATATTTTCCATATTGTCTGTATATATGTGTAAATGCTTATACACGTGATTTATAATTAGTATTCCTGTTAGTCAAATCTGAGATTAAATACACACACATACACACTTATCTAAAGTTTAGTTGGTAGCACTTTATTTTAAGGTCCAGTTCTCACTATTAACTAGTTGCTTATTAGCATGCCTATTACTAGCATATTGGCTGTTTATTAGTACTTATAAAGCACATATTATAAATAGCCTTTTTCTGCATGATCATATTCTAGATCCCATAATCCTAAACCTAACAACTATTGAAGCAAAAGTCATAGTTAATAGTTAGTTATTAGTGAGAATTGGTCCGTAAACTAATGTGTGATCATTTAGTTTTATTGACAAAACAAGTGGTATTATGAGTAATAAGCATCTAATTGTATCTTTTTGTATTCTGGGGAGGTTTTGAGTGTTTTAGGGGAAACTATAGCTAGAATCTCTCTCTTTTGCTAAGTGTCTGCTCTCCGTAATTAGACTAAGATTTTTAAACAGCCTCTAGTCGAGCTGTCATCTATCTGTCACTGTCTTTGTTTGTGAGTGTGTGTGTGTGGTTCAGTGTTTCTTTTCTTTCTCAACACTCTGGTCATCTTGGTGAAGCCTCAGCACCTTCCCAGGTTGCCCCAGGGTATTGTGTAAATGAGTGGAGAGAAGTCTTATGTAAGCATGGTAAAAGGATCAAATATGTGTGTTTTTTATGAAGGGATGCAGATATGCATGTCATGCTTGCTTATTTATTTATTTATTTATTTATTCATATATAAATTTATAATAAACCCTCCACCTCCCCCAGCTCCACATGTCTAGAGAATTTATGTATGTTTATTTACGCAGCAGCAGCATATCTTACATGCTCACAGCAGCATGTCTGTGTATCTGTTGGCAGTAGCAAGTCCGCACTTGAGTGTCAGCATGCATAACAAATGTTGTCCATCATAGTCTTGTGTAGCCAGACCTTCAAACTGATAGCGTGATGTCTAAGTCTGCCAAGACCAAATACATAAAAACTATTCAGAGATGACAGAGATTTGTTACCTGCAAATATTTACATACAATTATATATATTTTTAATTATTATTATTTTTTTATCTGAATGTATAATAGACATAGCGCTTCTACAAATATATAAATATCTGAACACATGTGCAGGCACCAGTAAATAATGACTCAGCCCTTATGAAAATTAACCATGCTTTTATAATTGTAAAAGTGTAGAAATCATGTTTTCTGTTTCTTTTTTTTGTTTGTTTTGGTGTAATGATTACCATTTGTATAACTACAGTTTTACTACAAATACCACGGTTAAACTACGAGTAGCACAGCAAAACCATGGTTAATTTGTGGATACCATGGTTTAACTATAGTAACCATGTTTTTTGGGTTTTATTTGTATTGTAGTAAAACCATGGTTCATTTTTGTAAGGGAGGGTTCAGGGTTCACCTTTAAATCCTTCTCAAGGTGACTGTATGGGTAAGTGCTGTGCATTTTTCAGCTTACAGGCAGTAAACTCTGCTTTTTCCTGTTAAACTCTCTAACTTCTCAAAATGCCTCTGGCACTGTGACAGTTTTTCCTGCCTACATAATTTTCGTAGCCGTGTTATTGTCCAGACGAATTACACATCCATTCGTCACATCTAGGCTCTCTGTAGTAAGGTTATGTTTGTTTTGCATTTCTACTTGTTTAGCCTTTGTTTTCTTATGAATTGTTCCACAGGTGAATGAGATTTATCAGGACAGCTCCCTGGGTGCCCATATTAATGTTGTCCTGGTTAGAATCATGATGCTCTGCTCCTCCAAGGTAAGACGGCATCAGCCAGCTTCCTTCTGAAACTTTGTTGGATGACTGTGGTTGTATCAGCAGCACTTCAAAGTACGAAAATACCTTATCTATTAAAAAATTTCTAGTTATGACTCCAGTAGCTGTCCAACAGAGACTGTATTGAAGTATAATTCTGGTATCTATATCCAAGGAAATGTTTCGCCACTGTAGCCAAGGTTGATTCAAAGTTGTTGATTGCAAATGATTTAAAATTAAAAACTGAGAACACTGTTTAAAAAAATTAATAAGTAAATAAATAGCATACTGAAATTGAAAAAGTTTGCTTATTGACTTCTAGGTACAAAGTGGTGCTAAAGTCCTGTCCAGCAGGTTTAAGTTTCTTTATTCTTTGGACCACTTTGCATTTAATTTCTGAATTAATTAATTAAAAAATAAACTATGAAAGCTCAAGTAGAACTCTAACATCAAACTGTAGAAAATTACAAAAGTTTTCTCTTGAAAACATGTGCAAAATGATACAAAAAATTGGTTAGAAATGTATAAATGTTAAAATGTTATAGCATTAATAGATTTGGCTTAAGCATTCTAATACTGAAATTTTCAAATTTCTGAAACTAAATTGTTTCAATTAACAATGTCCGGTATTAACCTATGATTTGTGTTGGTATTGTCAGTCCATGGGTTTGATTGAGCTGGGCAACGCTTCTCAGAGTCTGGAGAATGTCTGCCGCTGGGCCTTCCTGCAGCAAAAAGAGGACAAGAATGATGCAGAATACCACGATCATGCCATTTTCCTCACCAGACAAGAGTTTGGGCCCACTGGCATGCAAGGTAATACTTTTGGATTCCATGAACTTACATGTAAACATGACATGATGTATGTACAGTACATGAAGAATCTCAGATATGCAGACTAATTAAAATTCATGTAACAGGGCGAATGAACTGTACCATATGTACCATACTTTTTTTTTTTCAGAGAGACTTGCCAATTTGAGCCAGCATAAACAACAGACCATTGACGACAATTTATCTTCCCTCTCTTTTCAGGTTATGCTCCTGTGACAGGAATGTGTCACCCTGTGAGAAGTTGCACTCTGAACCATGAGGATGGCTTCTCGTCTGCTTTTGTTGTGGCCCATGAGACAGGACATGTGTGAGAAAAACCATCCTCCATAATATTCCACCACCGACCAGTGTTTGAGAAGCTAGTATGAAAGTGTCAAGCCCTAAGTTAATCATAAAAACTAGTAGTTCAACCCAAATCAAGCCGCTAAGTATTTACAGTTCATACCACAAATAAAAGTTAATGGTGCACTAAGCGATTTTCACCAAACAATGTTTATATTTGAAAGCACCAAAACAAACATGCCCATATCCCAACAGGACCTTGTCCCGATTTTGATATCTCTGCCCCACGAGTACATACACAACCCTGGCATAACGATGATCTTGGAAACAAACGAAGATGACACACAAGCATATTCAAACAAAAGCCAGCACAGATAAGTTGTGTGAAACAATGCAAAATCAGCGTTACTCACCTATCCAGAAGAAACAACACAACCTCGGCATCCGATTCAAGCCCTTTCCGCTCCTTTAGTTCTCTCCACCACTGAAAAACTGCTCCGATATGTACGCGGGCCCTACCTCTTGCCTGATCGTAATCCTTCTTTTTAATGTTTTGTTCTTCCGATATTTTCCTCTTTTTTATCTGCCATCTCTCTCTATCTAATGTCGATCTGCTAATATCCATCCTGTGTACTCAAATTGAGCGCTCTCTTCTCTCTATCATTACAAGACACGCCCCTTACTGCTGATTGGCTACAAGTGTGTTTTGGGACACAGTGTGGTCAAAAGCGTTTTTCAGATATTGCTTAGTGCACCTTTAACTATATTGAAGCTATTGGGTGGACGGTAATATCTTTGAATATCATTTTAATTATTATTATTTTTTTAATTAGAGAAGTATTTATCTGCCACAAAAACAATCAATAAAAGATAGAAAGTTCTGTCATTTACATTTCTAAATATTTGATCATATTTTGTCATCGCAAACAAAGATGTGTATATGTTGTATAATATATTATATATTACATTGTATAATAATATACATAATATTTGTTACATATATCCATTCTCTCACCCACATTTCCATTCAGTACAGAAGATGATTGTATAGACTGAGTGAGTGAATGTGTGCTTGTTATTTATTATATTTAGACTGGGGATGGAGCACGACGGCCAGGCAAATGAGTGCGGGGATGAGGTTCCCATGGGGAGTATAATGGCTCCTCTGGTTCAAGCAGCCTTCCACCGCTTTCATTGGTCCCGATGCAGTCAACAGGAGCTCAGGCGATACCTCAAGTGAGTTAATTGGTTATGGTAGCTTCCTGCTTTGTAGTATATGAATATATTCTGTTATTCATCCTGTTCCTTGATTACAAGTTCTAAGATAGTACTATTACTCATGCAGTACATATGACTGTCTGCGTGATGAACCCTTTGATCATGAATGGCCAACTCTGCCCCAGCTGCCTGGTCTGCATTACTCTATGAACGACCAGTGCCGCTTTGACTTCGGCATGGGCTACATGATGTGCACTGCGGTGAGTGAAAGAGAGACTTTGTCACACCAACTAACCTGACATGCCATCTCACTCCACATTCAACCACATAAACTAGTTAGATCTATAGTTAGTAAATCTGGCAATGCAGTATACTGAGTCCAAGTTAAGATAATGAAATGTGACCCTGGACCACAAAACCAGTCTTAAGTCGCTGGGGTATATTTGTAGCAATAGCCAAAAATACATTGTATGGGTCAAACTTGTAGATTTTTCTTTTATGCCAAAAATCATTAGGATATTAAGTAATGATCATGTTCCATGAAGATATTTTGTAAATGTCTTTCCGTAAATATATCAAAACTAAATTTTTTATTAGTAATATGCATTGCTAAGGACTTCATTTGGACAACTTTAAAGGCGATTTTCTCAATATTTTGATTTTATTTGCACCCTCAAATTCCAGATATTCAAATAGTTGTATCTCGACCAAATATTGTCCTATCATAACAAACCATACATCTATGAAAAGTTTATTTATTCAGCTTTCAGATGATGTATAAATCTCAATTTTGTAAATTGTCACTTAAGACTGGTTTTGTGGTCCAGGGTGACAAATAATACTGAAAATGTAGAATGTTTGTTTTTATTTGAACCTCAAAGTTTTAGATTTTTTTCAAGCATTTCAAATAGAGGAAAGCCATGACATATAATTATGATTTTAAGAAAATCTCAATAAAATGAAGACTATTTAAGATTTTGCACTATGTCTAGGTGACAAATCAAATGTAATCAAATTATTATATTGATCACTATTTGTACAGACAATCATGTTCTTGCTTCCTTTTTTAATCATCATGAGTATCTGTCTGATCTACATATTTATTATTATTTATAAAGTATTAATTATTAGTTATTAACTGTTCTCATAGATGCACATTTGTACTTTCAGTATTCTTAAGGATTGTGTATTGACAACGAATTTCTGACACATTAAATAAAACATTTTGCCCATTAATGGTTTCCTGTTATGAAAAAATTTTAATATGATAAATTTGAAAAATAATGCAAAATAGAAACATTTCTGGACTATTGGACTGCACTTTGTATGTTCAGCATCCTCTATAATATGAAATAATGTTGTTTATGCAGGTGCAAGCATGCAGATAATTCATCTGCAAACAAGAAAAGCTAAATAAAACTATTTAAAAAAAAGACTCCTGCCACTTATCTGGGCTGGTCACATGGTCTGTGTGTATGAATGCGAGCATGGCTGTTTCTTTTAGTACAGCACCTACGATCCTTGCAAGCAGCTGTGGTGCAGCCACCCCGAGAACCCTTTCTTCTGCAAGACCAAGAAGGGCCCTCCTATCGATGGGACCAAGTGTGCAACAGGAAAGGTTAGACCTTATACTCAGAACCTGAGCATATACCCAGAACCAGAATACCAGATACCATTTTCACATTCTTTTCTCCCTCTCTCTTTCTTTCTCCAGCACTGTTTTAAGGGTCACTGTATCAAGCTGACGCCAGACATTCTTAGGCAAGATGGCCACTGGGGTCAGTGGACCAAGTTTGGCTCCTGTTCTCGTACCTGTGGTGGTGGAGTATGGTTCCGAACTCGAGAGTGTAATAACCCAATGTTAGTGTCTTCAAATCGGTGAAAGTGGTATTCTCATGTTCTCACATTTCACCTCTGTTGACTTGAACAAATCTGTTCTATGTTGTAGTCCGGCCAACGGGGGGCGCACTTGTTATGGAAACAACTATGAGTTCCAGCTCTGTAACTTGGAGGATTGTGCAAAGGCCCTGGCTGACTTTAGAGAGGAGCAGTGCATAATGTGGAACCCCCACTTTGAGCATGAGGGCACCAAACACCATTGGTTGCCCTACGAGCACCCTGAACGTGAGTGATGAGCTGATTTATTTAGTGTTATTCCTTTCCAGATCATTTTCCGTTTTTGTTCAGTCTCATATTATGCTGGCGAAAAAGACATTGGCACAGTCACATGGTATTTTACTCCTCATTTTAATGCTTCCTGATGTCCGCCATGTGTCTTGGACCCTGTTCATCTTTCTTTCAAAGAAATGTGCTTTTTAAATATCATTCACAAAGCTACTTTTTCTGTAAATGTTTCCATAACGTAAGAGCTAAGAAATATGTATTTGTATTTTATGTGCCATATAGAATCACAATTTTTTTGCGTTTTAGTGGCTTTACGCTTCTGCATTTTGTGTTATCGGTAATACGTACAATAAGGTTTCATTTTTTTTACATTAGTTAACTACATTAGTTAGCATGAACTAACAATGAACAATACTTCTATAGCATTTCTTAATCTTAATTAATGTTAATCTCAACATTTGCCAGTACATTTTTGAGATCAAAAGTTAGTTAATGCACTGTTAACTAGCACAAACATTTTTTCCACAGGGAAAAATAAATAAATAAATTTAATAGCGGCTTTTTATCTGACAAGTCTGACTTTTTTTCTCATAACTGCAAGTTCATATCTTATAATTCCGACTTTTCTTCTCAGAACTGAGAGATAAAAATTTTTTACAAGTCTTTATGTCGTGCCACCAAAACCTTAATGCAGAACAACAAAGAAAATGGAACATAAATTCATGGAAAGGAGGTGGCTTCAGAAAGAGTAATAGGGCTGTTACTTAACTGAAGAGTTGGTCTTAGCTGCTTGGAAAAATTCCCCAAAAGTTTGGCCCAGTCATTGAGAAGGGCATCAGCCAAGAGCTGGACAGCAGCGGTTGGAAGAAAGGCACATGGAAATGTGATTAAGCAGCAACGGCATCTCCAGTTATCCGCTGGGACTGAATTACTGCTACAGTAAAGGGAATGCAGGTAGCCAGCTAATAACCACTCCAGCCTCCTGCTCTACTGCTGAGAGGAGTAAACAATCTTGTTTTCACTGCACATACAGCAAGAACAATGTTGCAGTGGAGACACTGGTTTTTGTTTTTTCTATTTAAATATTTTTTATGATTATTTATGTAGCAAACACCTTTTAAGACTCTAAAATAATTATCATTACATCACAAATCTGATATCAGTGGCATTCTTACTAAATCTATCCATATGAATTGTCTAGATGTAGCAATGTAATTGATTAGTACTTATATGGTATATATATGTAAAGTGTGGTTGTAGCACGCATACATTTTAAAACATTCTATCAACCTGATTGCTTACTTTTCACAAGTATTAATTATTGTACATTTTTGTATGTTTGGATGTACACTACTATTCAAAATTTGGGGGTTGGTAAGATTTGATCATAGCAAAGTAATTTATGTTCACAAAGGCTGCATTTCCTTGATCAAAAATACAGTAAAAACAGTAATATTGTACAATGTTATAGTACAATTAAAATAACTCTTTTCAATTTGAATACATTTTAAAATGTCATTTTAAATGTCATTCCTGTGATGGTTAAGCTGAATTTTCAGCAATGCTTACATTTTTAGGATTCTTTGTTGTATGGGAAGTTTAAAATAACATGATTTATTTGGTCAAATCTTTTTGTAGTAATGTAAACATCTTTACTGTCACTTTTGAACAATTTAATGCATCCTTGCCTAAATAAAAGTCATTTATTATCTATTTATTTTTTTAATCTTGCTGACCCTGAACATTTAAGGGGGTGGTTCACTGTTTTTTTTCTAGGCTTGACTGTGTTTCTGGGGTGCAGTCTAACATGATAATGCTTCGTTTTTTAAAAAACGCATTATTTTTCACATAATTTACCTTTATTCCACACCGCTCTGAGAAACGGGCTGATCTTTTCCTGTTTTTATGAAGCCCCGCCCTCAGAAATAGGCAATGGGCTCTGATTGGTTAGCTAGCCCAGTGTGTTGTGATTGGCTCAACTGCCTCTAGTGCGCGTCTTAACGTCCGGCCCCTCACCTCTGCGGCATGTGCTCTGGTTGTATTGTAAACAACGGCGTCGTTAATATAATTTATCAGTTTGAGCCCGATTGAGAAGCAGAGGATATTATTGAAGAGGATCATGCAGAACCTTTGCAAGCACGGCTTTTAATGGTAGGCCTATGTTTTTTGTTTGTTGTTGTCTCATACTTTTAGATATGCTGTTATTTGAAAATGCTACTGCTTATGTTAGCTTTTAATATACGATTTTATCCTGATTAAAGCTTTAATACAGTACAGCAACTGCACGCTTTATCACGCTTTACCAGCCATTTTTGTAGGCATTAAACCGCCAGAATTTTAAAAGATGATATCTCCGTTTGCATTGAACTTTCAGCTTGGTAACTTTGAAGATATTGTTTATGCTCAAACAGCAACATTACACACTTACTAACGTTAAAAAATTAAAATCGCAATCAACCACCCCTTTAAATGGTAATTCACACTGAAAAGTACAATATTAACATATTAGTGGGATCAAAAATATAACTAAACCATAAAAAGAATCTTTACCAATCCATACATTTTAAATATATTTGTATGATTACATTTACTATTATATTTTTATATATTTTTTTTTTCCCATTCATTTTAACATTCTAAAGTATCAGCTTGAGTAAAGTGATGGAATCCTTCAAAACACACCAGGAAAAAAAACTGTCATAATGTCAAAATAAGTAGATAGAGAAATAGATAAGTAAATTAACATATTTAATTAATCCTATTAATTAAAATACAGTAAAATCAATATATTATAATTACATGATTTCAAAAACATGCCAACATATTTGTGTTGTAAGAAAAATGCTGAAGACTTTGAAGATCTTGATGAAGAATAACTTAATGCAGAATAACAGTGACAAAGTACATGCAGCACTTCAGATTCAGAGGACTCAGAATGAACCTCAAACATCATAAGCTCAAACCTTTTGTACAGTTACTGTTTACTACCCTTAATGTAAATGAAGTTGCTCCAGGAACAGCTGTGGTCTGTATGTTAATGAAGTTCCAACACCCCATTGTCTGAGATTGTTCTCGGTGTCCCACACCCATTCATATTCTACAATTGGTCACCATTTGCTCAGGATGTGATCTTTCTTCTTTTCTATAATAATTCATCCATTTTGGGATTTGAGCATGATCATACATCTAGTGTGGAGTGGAATCTGGGCCGGGGCAGTCTGTAGTTTCTTACAGTGTGCTCAAACAAATATGAATTGCTATGAATTGTATGAATTTGTCTGTGATCTGTTTTTTGGACAGCTGAAGAGAGATGTCAACTATACTGCCAGTCAAAAGAAACTGGAGATGTGGTATCCATGAAGAGAATGGTGCATGATGGCACACATTGTTCCTACAAAGACCCTTACAGCGTGTGTGTGCGTGGGGAGTGTGAGGTAAAGGTTATTCAAACACACCCACACAAACCATCCATCACTGAAATTCATCCTCCAAAATGCCATAGAATGAATAATATCAGGCCTAATCAGCCTTATGAGGCCTTTCCACTTCTCACTGCCAGGTAAATTGTTGATTCGCTAGAACAAGACGTTGTCTTCAATGGTCTGTGTTTAGCTAGTTCTGTTATTGGTGGAATACATGACTGCAAAGTCCTGATTGATGAAGTACATGCTTAGATCTCAGTGTTTTGCTAGTGGAATTAAAAGATGAAGCGCATTCCAAGATGTATTGCTTTATAATCTGAGAGGGATATGAATGTCTGGAAAAGGCTGGGTTTGAATGTGCACCAGCACTGGCACTCACCTAGGGAAAGATGGGATCTGTGATTGTTTCCATGCAGTTGTGTGCTCAAGAGTGTTTCCTACCTTTTACTGATGTTTATTGATTTTATTGGCAAAAAGTGGTTCTGGTTAGAATTAAGATTAAGTTTAGAGTCAATTTACCATCCATGCATAAATTTTAATGCAAAATTGCTGGTCAATAGCACTGTTGTCTTTGCCTTTATAAAGACATTTGGATTGCCATGGATGATGCATTACACACAAAAGCAAAAACTTGCAGTTACAGATTCAATTGTGGAAATGCTCAGTTTTGTTTTCTTCATCAGTATTCTTGTCTTGTTTTCCAGTAAAAATGTAAACATACTTCAAAACAGATACAAGTATGAATAAGTATGGTTTTTAATATATATATATTTTAAATTTCAGCAAATTGCCAAAGGACTAAAAAAATAAATTTGCTCCGAAAACAAGTTTTAAATATCTTTTTCAATTTTTTAAATATTTTTTATAATTGTGATAGTATAACATCTTTATGCACTTTATTTTAAGGATCTTTAACTGGAAAAACTACAATATGGTACTCCCCCCCCCCCCCCCCCCGTATTTATTGGCCTATTAGGCTCCCATGATTATTACTGATATAAATTGAGTAGTATTTGGCTGGTCATGTGATCTCAACATGTTACTCACATGATTTTAAACATTTTAAAACATAAAAGTACTAATAATTTCTTAATGTGTCAAAACTTTAAATTACTGAGTGCACCTTGAATGGATTCAAAAACAGAGAGGTTCTACAAAGAGGTTCTATAAAAAAAAAATTCTGTGAATTTGCTTAGCTTAAGCTATATATTCTTGGTTCTCTTAAACCCTGCTCTCTGCACAGAAAGTGGGCTGTGACAATGTAATAGCCTCGGAACTAGAAGACGATAAGTGTGGCGTGTGTGGAGGAGACAACTCTACCTGCAAGATTGTCAAAGGAAATTTCACCCGCAGCACGAGGAAACCAGGTGAGCTTCTTTCCTCGCTGCAGACTCCATGAGCATGTCCAACCCAGATTTATTCAAAAATTTCACCACAATCAGGAAATTCTTCAATTCTCAAATCTAATTTTTATTTTTGTGAATTGTATTCTTAGGTTTTCTGAAGATCCTGGAGATTCCTAGAGGAGCAAGCCACATACAGATCCGTGAATTCAAAGGAACTCCACATATTCTAGGTAGAAGCTTCTTCTCAGTAGGCCTGTCACGATAACAACTTTTTGTTGTGCGATATATTGCCCAAGAAATAATTGCGATAAGCGATACAATTGCAATTTTAAAGACCATTTTATGCTATTGAATATATAATCATAATATAAAAGCATAATAATGCAAGAAGGCATACACACTTCCAAATGACAACAAACTTTTAATTTTTAAGAATATTTAGATCATGGAAATTAAGTATCAAAATTGTAGATACCTTAGAAAACCTGAATAAATAGTAAATAAACATTTTCTAACAAAAAAGTGCAAAGTAGAAAAAAAGAAAAATGCACAAAGAACTTGTATGGAGATTTTTCCATCTACAGATTTTTCCCTGACCTTCTTTTCTCTGTAAATTAAGGGTGCACACTATTGCTGAAAAACACAATCACTACTTAGCAGTCAGATGTCCATATGCATAAAGGCACAGATCCCTAAACAAGGAACTTTGTTTGTAGAAGCATTTTTTTTATTTGAGCTAGCACCTCATGACTACACCACGTTATGTACGAGAAGCTGCAAAAGACACATGCGCAAGTGGAATGTACAAAACATGGTGACATTAATTATTATGTAAATATAATGGGCGATATATTGCATCACCAAAAATTAGTGAGGTCATGTACATATATAGCGCGATAAGTCGATATATTGATTATTGCGACAGGCCTACTTCACAGCAAATGCCTGTGTGATTAATTACTCCAACACTGGCCCTCATAATTCAAGTGTCTGGCCTCCCACTGTTTGTTATTGATGGAGAGGTTTGGACTCCTCCTGGCACTGAGAACATTAGGAACTCCAGCTCAGTGGCCGTGAAGCACCTTAGCTACTTAGAAGTAATGCCTTCCAATACTGTGATTTATAGGTACAAGAAATGCATATCAAATCAGCTTGATGAAGATTGATCCTTGTTTTTGTCTCACTCAGTGCATAAATTGGACTGCATAGAGTTAAGACTGTCCTAATGTTAAATTGTCCTCTGCTAGCGGTGAAGAACCAGGCCACAGATCATATCTTCCTGAACGACGAGGGTGATTTTCCTGAGTCACGTACAGTAATTGAGAAAGGTGTGGCGTGGGAGTACACTAACAATGACGACATGGAGACGGTCCAGACCACCGGACCACTCAAATATGGAGTTCTCATTATGGTAAGAAAGAGCATTATATCAGCCAAAATTACCAGAAGAAGTGGACAACTGTAAATCCAGAACTAAACCTAAAGAGCTTTCAGGGTTAATAAGGGCAGTACATCTAGTTATGGATAGAGATAGTTCACCAAGAATTGAAAATTCAGTCGTACTCACCCTGGTGTTGTTCTAATGGCATTTGCCCTTCTTTCTTTTTCAGACCATGAAAGGAGAAATTTAAAAAAAAATGCCCTGCCCTGCTCACGCAAAATATGCAAAAGTATCACAGAATGGTCCCATGTAACACGAATCATACATTTCTTTGTGTTCTGAGGGTATAGGATAGGGTTAGGTGAAAAACAAAGCTACATTTATTGTATTATTTAAAATCCTGACCTTAGCCATTGGTCTTTTGTGCATGGCTGTGTTCGTGAGACTCTGTTAGGTAGGTCAGCGATTAGGTCACACAAGTGCACCATTGTGGGAAATCAAAATTAATAAAAGCACAACATGAAATACAATTAATTGTACATTCTTCAGTGAGTTCAAAACTTCCAGACAGGAATGGTTTGTCAGGTGCCAGTCAGAATGACAGTTGATAGATGTGAACACAACATATACATTCAGCTCAGAGAAGAAAGTATATGGATTGTATTTTATTTTGGGGAAGTCGTGGCCTAATGGTTAGAGAGTTGGACTCATAACCCAAAAAGGTTGTGGGTTCGAGTCTCGTACCGGCAGGAATTGTAGGTGGGGGGAGTCAATGTACGTGCTCTCTCCCACTTTCAATACCACGACTGAGGTGCCCTTGAGCAAGGCACTGAACCCCCAACTGCTCCCCGGGCACCGTAGCATAAATAGCTGCCCACTGCTCCGGGTGTGTGTTCACGGTTTGTGTGTGTTCACTGCTGTGTGTGTGCACTTTGGATGGGATAAATGCAGAGCACTAATTCCGAGTATGGATCACCATACTTGGCCACATGTCACGTCACTCACTCATTTTGCATTTTTAGAAATCTAGATTTCTAGATTTTCCTGGGTGAGTTGAAATAAACTGTGTCGCTAAAGAAAACAACGCCTAAGACTTATGACCTCACTCTCCAACATCTGGGAGAGCCGCCATATAAGGCAGAGGTCACCTCCAACTGGAGACTTTTCTCATCTGAGAATAAATAAGAATAAAATAGCGATTGAAAAGTCCTGGTTGTTAACGTTGGGGAAGCGTTAATTTCCCCGTGTGGGGAAGGAACACTACGGAGACCACATCATACCTGAAGGGGAGGTAACATGTGGAGATACATCCAAAACTCACTAAAAAGATAGTAAAACATTGGGATGGTTTCTGTCGAGTGCTCACATAAGGGGAGAACTACTAAGCACAGAAACATATCAGCTGTCTGTCTAGGGAAAACACTGAGTCCTTATTAGGAACAGGGCAGTGGATTAATACACATATGGGACCACCATAGAGAGTCACAACATATGGAGCACCAATCCATTTACGAGTTCACTTGAGGGATACTTACAAGTAATGGGTTCTTGCAGCAAGTTTCTCCACCAAACTCAGCTACGCAAAGAGTGCTTGAACGATGGAAAGCCAGTCCAGGGTTCAAAAAAGGAACTGAACTGGACTCAAGAGTGCACATTACCACTTCAGAGAGGGGAAGGGTTCTATATTGCAGCTCTACACCTTACTAGTCACCCTAAATCTAGGATGAACTGGCTTACACTTGCAGATATGGTTGAGTGCCCCGACTCCCAGTAGGCCAGGTTAGCCTCTGGCCTGATAAGCCATGGAAATCGCATCTATAGTCTAGTGGGAGATTTCCTGTTTGGAGACAACGTTCTCCTTCCGCTGTTTTCCAGGCAGACAAGGAGCTGTTCAGACATTCTGAAACTCTGTGTGTACTGTAATGAATGCACAGGGCTCGCACCAGGCACAACAGTGACAGCCCAGATGTCCTTCCTTGAAAGGAATAACTTGCAGGGTCACCACTTAGTGGCAACCTTTGGCACAGATCCAAGCCGGGGTCTCAGAATAATGCATCCGTGACGAGGGAGGCCTCAGACAGGGAAATTGCAATGGGCAAAGAAAGGAATCCTGTGAGGCAACAGATATGTCTGTGCCTGACTGAATCACTCCAATCAGCTGAATCGCCAAGCCAAACAACCTGAGGAGCCAACAGGAAAGGCTGGGTAGTCCAAACGTCTTGTCAATGGTCTCAGTGGAGCTACGTTCAATGTACCTGAGGCAGGGTTCCTGTGGCGGCTCACAATGGAAGAGGACGTTGTGTCTTTCGAAGCACTCTGTGAAGGGTGTGCAGCATCAGCCTTGTCCCTCAGATGTTCGAGGGAGCTGAAGCTTGCCTAGGTTCGTCATACTGGCTTGACATCAGACCTGCTGCATCAAAATGTGAGAAGGCAGAAGTCTCTGTCTGAACAGGCTTTGATGCTCAATTTCAGCGCCTGATACCAAGAGCCAGGAATGCCATGTGAGTAGAACAGGGTTCCTCAATAGGCGGCCCATGAGCCACATCCGGCCCGTGAGAGAAAAATGTTTGGCCCGCACTAATGTCAAATAATGTGGCATGAAAATTCAAATGCACCATCAGAAAGCGACATTAACTTACATCCTGTCTACACTGGACGCGAGTTGCGCGGCGCGACGCAACAAAATACAATAGAATCAGCGCAATAATCAGTGATGTTGTCAACACTGTGTGCGGCGCGGTGCGGCGCGACAAATCCCGACAGTAAACTGCTGACTCGTTCTATTTATGACGTACTGAAACAAAGTTCAAATGATTTGCAATGCTTTGTTGCATCCAGTGTAAATATGATGTGATAGCAAAAACATGGCGAGTGAGAAGAAAAGAAAAGTGGACACGGAAAAAAGATGATAATGTGAATGAACTGAGCAGTTTTGAGTGAGTGACTGACTGATACCATCTCTGTTATGGAATACACATGTTCGCTTTCATTTATTTTCAAGATCTGAGATAAATATCTATTGTTGCTTTCACTATGGCTATAGATCACGCAAAATAATCATCAAACTTCCATTAGACACTTTTAACATTGAATAAAGCACATAATTATTACCTGAGATTATCACTGTCATATTTTGTGTTATTCCTGCCGCGACGTCGCAGAAAATAAAAACGGTTTCAAAAATAGAATCCCGTGTCGCTGTCGCGGGTGGTTAGGACAAAAACTACATGGAAATTATACTTTTTATCACGTCGCGCCTGGTTGGGACACACGGTGTTACAGTTTGACCCCCACCCCTACAGAGGGAAAGTGGAGAGAAGAGATCCAGTCTGGGAATGAGCAGGAACAGTTGATTTGCATGGCAGACATGGAGATCCAGATTTTTTGTTTGTTCATTAGTTTTTAACATTAAACAGGCAAAGTTCTTCTGTATCTAAATGCAAAAAATGTTCATAATTGTTTGAATAAAACAGACTACTGGGAGAAAAAATCTGAATATTTATCTTGTGACCATCTTGTGACTATTTTAAACAAAAGCAACAATAATATCATAATTGTAATAATAATAATTATTATTATTATTATATATATATATATATATACGTCAGTGGCCCTTGGCTTGGTATTGTTGGCAGAATTCAGCCCTCAGCGAAAACTAATTGAGGAACCCTGGAGTAGAATGACCCAAGGACATGAATTTCTGTTTTACTAATAAATTGGTCTGCAGAGTGGCAGATAGCCTAGGTCATGCAGCATCCACCTCTCATCCCCCGATGCAAGTAGAGCTGGTTGGTCATTTGGTATCTCTCCCTGGGTCGCTCATTACAGGTCTGCTTTGAAACTTCTTAAGGGTTCTAAGCAACCTGAGAATGAGCTGGTGATGCCACCTTGCTCCTAAAAGATTGCCTTCAGTCTGGCTTATCCACCTGTCCAGGCTGATGCAGGGTCAGTGCAGTTCTCACAGCGCGTCCCCAGCAACAAGCAGGCAGAGATTGCTACATCAGGGGTCCAAGGATAGAACCCGACCCATGCCAAGGCAGAATACCTTTGCCAGTTTTCTGACTGTTGAGAAATGGCAGTGTCGCCAAAGAGACCAAACTGGGAAATGTGGGAGTAAAGAAAGTGCACTTTCTCAGTAACCCACATCCCCATCAGTTTGAGGCCACTGATGTACAGTGATAAAGTACACTGATGACATGCCCTCCCCAGAGTCTGCTGCGTGACCTTCATAGCCCGGAGGGCATAGTCAGCTGCCGAGCACAGTTCCTGCATGCTCCGGGTTGGGTCCACCTTCGTGCAGACCCTGGCCTAGACAACAGCAAGACAGCTATGGTGTGCAGAGTGGATGCAGCATGTCCAGAAGCAGTATAAGCTCTCACCACAAGGGACGAGGAAACTTGCTCTGAACGGGAGTTTCAGACAGCCCCTCCAGATGGCAGCGTTCTGCGTTTTGCTTGATCACTCTCTCCACCTGGGGGACCACCCATATATTCCTTTGCTGGACCGCTGTCAAGGTTGATGAGAAAAGAGGAACCGGTGCATCGTATTAGAGCACTTGGCGTTGGAGGAACAAGAGGTCTGCAGGAATTCATCCGCCGGAACTGCTCCCGCAACATCTCCTTGCTCCCCTTCAGTGAACATCATTGAGGCCTTGTACCCGGAAGTAGAAGGGCCAGGACATGATGCAGATGAGGTGACTCGATTAAATCATGAGCTGCATGTGCAACATGCTGATAGCCATGTCCTTACAAGAGAGACATAAACCATCTACAAAAGCGGCTTTTAAGAGGAAATTTGCTCTCAAAGATCACCGTTGAAGCACCCAGGAGTACTCTCACTACACTTATCAGTGTATGGGCAATAGAGAAACCACTGCTTTTACCATAGATCCTACGACAAGGAGATTGAGAGGTGAATGAAAAAAGATGCTGCATCGGCTCCGAAGAACAGAACGAGTGAACAAATGCCACGCTGGCCTATTCATACCCGGATATCCGGGGAGTGGCCAGCTGTGCAAATTTTGCTTGCCAACATCATTGGCCTTTTCTCAATGATGTCAGAGGTGTCTGGGCTCTGAAGTCTCACCCCTAGTGTCAGACTTCGACACAATGTCGAAGTTACCAAGATGAATTTTTAGCAGCCATTAATCCAGTCCTCATTTTCTGTGGAATGTTAAACTTTTTTTTCAAGATTCAAGATGAATGGAAAAATCTTTGTTTACATTAACATTAATGACTTTACTGTCACTTTTTAATCAATTTAATCCATTCTTGCTAAATAACAGTATTCATTTCTTTTTTTTTAATCAAATATTAGTGACCCCAAACTTTTAGAAGGTAATGTACATTTATGTGTCATTCATAATAAAAAGTACACGTTTTTTGTTTGTTGTTATTTTCTTTTCATTCCTTAAATTGCACTTCTGTGTTCCGTATTCTGTTGATTAAAGTTGCTAAAAGAATTTAATTCTTAATTCAACTCTGAATGGTGCACAACCCTGACAGACAAGAGATTTGAGTGAAACTTGGATCAGTGGTAGGAGACAACAGCTTGTATTGTGGCGTTTTTTCTGTTTGTCTGGCTTGTAGGGAAACAGTACACACGTTTTGGATGCCGGAGGAAGTCGGATGGCAAAATGGTACACCGCACACTCTGTGCCAACATACCCAAACCTCGCGCCATCAGTCGAGCCTGCAACCAGAAGGAGTGCTCAGAACCAATGTAAGCAAATGAGGTTCACCGTGTGGTAGTTTTCAAACCAATATCATACAGTTGAACTGTTGTAGCTGAACTGTTGAAAAAACTAAATGAGTGATGGATGATGGTGTAAAGGCAGGGGTTACCAAACTTGTGTCCTGCACAGTTTAGCTCCAACTTGCCTCAATACACCTGCCTGGAAGTTTCAAGTATTCCTAGTAAAACCTTGATTAGCTGCTTCAGGGTTGGAGCTAAACTCTGCAGGACACCGACCCTCCAGGACCGAGTCTGGTGACCCCTGGTGTAATGGAAGCATAGGATTAGTGGACATTTTTTCAATGTGTGTTGTGTATTTCAGCTGGGTGACAGGAGAATGGGAGGAGTGCAGTAAATCATGTGGTAAGACTGGTTCTCAGACTCGAACTGTGCGCTGTGTGAGACCTGAACTGGACGGTTCATACAAAGCCATCAACGCTAAGTATTGCAATGATGACCGGCCTGAAGGACGACGACCCTGTAATCGTCACCTATGCCCTGCACAATGGAGAACTGGACCTTGGTCTCAGGTGAGTATGAGTAAGATTGAGAGTTTGAGAGTCAGATATTTCATTGTTCGTGCACATTTTTACATTTAGATTACCTTTATCTAACACTCACTTAAAGTTAATCTTTAAAAACACTTGGATTAATGTGTCCTGTTTAAAAACAGTTAAAACACAAAATGGATATCCATTTTTCATACCATACATTAAGATATTATAATAATATGCCTAAATTCAAAATGAATTATTAATTTTAGTGTTCACTGCTTTATTTTTAATTGATCAAATAGTAATAAAAAATAATAATAAGTAATATTTGTGATATCGGTTATTTATTGATAATTGGCCATAACATGACAATTATTATCAAACATATCAGCCAGAATATCAGTGATATTCTAAAAGAAAGAATCTTGTATCAGCATCAGTATCAGTTGCTGTATTTTAGCATCAGTGATGCTAAAATAAAGGGCCATCATTATGTTAAAGCAACAGTTCACCCAAAATGGTATTCTCAAAATATTACTACTTCAATGTAACAACCTTATTCTCAAAACATTATGCCATTATTTAAGTAATGTCATGACTTATTCGCAAAGTCTTAATACAGTGTGAAGGTACACTACTGGCACACTATAAATGTAAAATAAAATTGAATTTATCCCTGCAACGGCAAGCTGAATTTTTGATAATAACTGGGCACAAAATCAGCATATTAGAATGATTTCTGAAGGATCATGTGACACTGAAGAATGAAAGGCTGCTGAAAATTCAGGTTTGCCATAAATTACATTTTAAAATATATTAAAATAGAAAACAGCTATTTTAAATTGTAAAAAAAAATCAATATGTTTACTCTATTTTTTTAACAAATAAATGCAGCCTTGGTAAGCATAAGAGACTTCTTTCAAAACACTTTTGACCTGTAGTGTAGGTTAATCAATGTATCTTGTTAATGCATCCCATTCTGCTACTGTGTGTGCAGTGCTCAGTGACCTGTGGTAATGGGACTCAGGAGCGGCAGGTCATGTGCAGCACCCCTGATAATGCCATTGGCATCTGTATGAACACCAAGCCTGAGAGCATCAAATCATGTCTGCTGGCACCGTGTCCAAGTGAGTGTCTGCTGCGACCTATACAGCTCCTCAGAATTCACTTAAGACTCTTTCGAAACCAAAATAACACTGTTCCTAAATCCTGTCTTAACTACTAGATGACAGAGGGAACTTCCTCATCCAGTGGCTCTCCAGAGCAGACCCCGAGTTCCCAGCGCCCAAGATCTCCTCAAGTAAACGGCCCATCTCCAATCGTCAGCCTGCTGTGTGCTGCATGGCCGCTCTTTCCTGGACCCTGCCTCTTTCTCTTACGCTATGGCTCTGTTACACTCTGTCCTGACCGCTTCTCTGTCCCTCTCAGAGTCTTAATGTTTCCTTCGTCCGAGGGAATTCTGTGGGCTATTTCCTTCCTCTGCCCTTGTTCGCTCTGTGCTTAGTCTTCTACAGGCTAAACACAGCCTAAAATTGCATTGAAAAAGGGCGGTAGGTGCCTGTGCGGAAGGAGCCTTGTTTTGAGAAGCCGTGATGGTTGTGCTACGTCAGGTAATATGGATATGACTGTTGTAACGACTTCCAGGGTGAATCATTCAAGTTTAGACTGTTCTTCCAGCCCATTTCTGGAATTATATATTTAAAGCACCTCGCATCTGGACTTACTTGTAATTAAAACTGGTTTAAACTGATATCAAATGGCATGTTGAAGGCAGCGTTTGGCCTGTAGTCAGATCTTTGCTGAATGCTGGCCCCTGTAGGTCGTATTTGTCACAGCTCTTTCATTCCAGAGCGTAGCATTTCCCTGCATTGTGTATGGTTACAGTATGTAGTTGTTTAAATGTAATCCAAAATGTGCCATTTCCATTTTTATAATTATATTCTTCAAAGTTGTCTGTTTTTCAATGGATTTAATGGTGTTGAGATGTTTTACCAAAGTGTTTACTAAACTGTGAATGGTGTGACATTTCAAAGCAGTTTACATTGTACTTAGAAAAGTTGTATGTGTTGTCTTGTACATGCTCTATATTTGACAGGAAGTCTCTGTGTAACTAATGTGGTTTCTTGTCGGCTGTGTTTATGGGAATAAAGGGTCAAGTAATATACTGAATACTTAAATCCTCTGAATTTGTGCTCTATAATTTCATGTTGCCGTTTTGCTTAGACTAACTTTATTTCCATTTCACATTTTCCTCATTTCCTGGTGTTTTGCTTCATTTTTTTTTTAGATTTCATTGTTGTTTTCTTGTTATATTATATTATATTATATTATATTAGTGCTGTCAAACAATTAATCGCGATTAATGACATCCAAAATAAAAGTTTTTGTTTGCATAATATGAGTGTTCTGTGTATATTTATTATGTATATATAAATATACACACATACAGTATGTATTTTGAAAATATTTACATGTCTATTTATAGTCATATAATTTATATTATAAATAAATATATTTAATAAATAAACATTACATTTTCTGAAATATATACATGCATGTGTGTGCATTTATATATACATAATAAATATAAACAGTACACATACATATATTATGTAAACAAAAACTTTTATTTTGGATGCGATTAATCGCAGTTAATTGTTTCACAGCACTATATTATATTAAATTACATTATACTTTGTATTTTCATATTTTATTTAATATAAAACTTAATTTATATATGATGGTTTATTTTAATATTTCATCTCTTGTTATGTTATATGTTATGTTATATATTTCCCATTATCATATTGACATCATTGTTTGCCAGGGTCACGCTGCTGCATGCTTCTTTAATTTTCGTATTTCATATATATTCTTATTTATTTATTAGAATCTCCTATTGTATTTTTTTTCTTTTCTTTTTATAATTTCCCATTGTTGTACTGACATCACTAACTCCACACTGAGCATCATGTTGGTTTATTTTTCAGGATCCCGCTGTAAAGGAGACAAGTCTATGTTATGTCGGATGGAGGTTCTCAGTAAGTACTGCTCCAACCCGGGCTACAGGCAGATGTGCTGCAAGTCCTGCAACGAGGGCAACTACACCTCTGAATTCAACCTGACTAGACCCTGGATGTACACCACTGTCACCCCTACCGTAACTCCCACTGCGACGGCTCCCGTTCGCACGACACAGCTGTACAGGACCTCACAGAAGCCCGGCACAACAATCACACCATCGGTCAGAAGATGGAGAAACATCAGCACTGAGCCCATATCTTGGGCCCACACAACCACTGTGAATCCAATAACCCTAAAACCAGGAACCACAGTCCCTTTCACCACTGGTTCTGTCACTGTGCACACTAAGCATCCCGGCACACTCGACTACGAAGAGGAAACCAGTGCCCCCTTCTACGAGGATGAAACCTGGAGCGACGTCTCAACCGAACACTTCTCAGAATCCGAATCGTCAGTGTTCATCTCATCGTCTGCAGAGCCTTGGCCAACAACTCCACAATATACAAGCACACCTGAGAATAAAAACATCGAGACAACTTTTCTGACAATGCTACAGCCTAACGTTACTGCAACAACAAGCCCTCCTGCCATAATCAGTCTCCATCGGTCAGAAGACAAGAAGGAGAATAACTCCATCGACGTGTCCTACAGGATTGTCAATCCGAACGAGGTCGCACTTAACCACTTTGTTCCCAGAAAGCGAGTGCCGTTCCGTGAGAAAACGCATAATAAAAGAATTCAAGAGCTTCTTGCGGAGAAAAGACAACAAGACTTCCTGCTTCAAAGACTGAAACGAAAACCAGGAGACTGATGCATTTCCTTTTCTTTATCCCTGTGGTATTTTGTGAGTATATTTTAAGTGGTTTTACAGCCTCTACACTCTTTCTTGGCATTTGCAATATTTTTTTACAGGAAATAACCTCAGATCTCAGTCTTTCATGTAGTATCTGTTCAGGGCATCTGATTGGATAGAAAAATGACCCTAGTCATGGCTTTTTTTTTTGTGAAGATGACATTGTCCCAGGGATTTACCACGTTTGGCTACTTTAAAAACACATGGGGTAAAGCAGAGGCATAAGAAACTGTCTGTTGTGGAGATCTGGCAGTTTAAGCTTTGACCGGGCACGATTTTTCCAGTCCTCTACAATTGTTGTACATGATCCCAGTGAGATTTTGTGTGAGGTCAACAGTCAGACTGTACAATACACATCTTATCCACAATTCTGATCCCAGTGGTGCTGTTGACAGCATATACAAGTGGTGCAACAAGATTTCACTCACCACCAGAACTTTTGAGGCTCAGCATCATTGTGATGGGAATAAATCATCTGATGGTGCATACACATCACGCAAAGGCCTCATATTTTGCGCTACAGAAATTGTACGATCCTAAAATTTGTCTCAGGTGGCAAAATTGTACAGTTTGAACCTGACGTAAAGCAAGATTTAAAGCATTCAGATGAAAGCTTGTTGAATGAAGAGATCCATGAATCATAATTTTTTGCCATATTTCTCTAAGGGAAAAGTCGTGTTGTTTGTCATTATCTCACTTTTAAAGGTTTATTGACCCAGCTTAAAACCTAATTAAATCAGCTTGAGCTGATCATGTGCTGATCATATATGGTCTGGCTTGTTAGTTTTGGATGAGTGTTGGTCAGCTGGTGAGGCTGGCAGACCAGCTAAACCAGCTGAACACAATCTTGACCAGAATGGAAGACCAGCTTAAACAAGACTAGCTAAAAAGCTGGTTCAATGCGTTTTTTTTCATCAGGAGAATGATGTTTCAACATTTGGTGTATCTTGTCCAAAGTTTTAAGTCAACTAACCTCCATTGCATTACAGTACAGTATATATAGAGCTAACTGCCCAAGGACCCCTTATGAAAATTAACCATGATTTTAACACAAATAAAACCAAAAAACCATGGTAACAACAAATTAACCATGGTTTTGCTACACTAAACATAGTTTAACCATAGTATTTGTAATAAAACTGTGGTTATACAAATGGTAATCAATACGCCCAAAAAAACATGGTTAATGCACTTTTACTACAATAAAACCATGGTTAATTTTCGGAAGGGACATGGATCTTGTGTAAATGTGTGGTCACATGTGAAATTTAGTCTACTTTTGTGGACAAAAAGGTCCATTGTCTATTGACAATTTGTGTGACCAACTTAACCCTGATGCAAAATCTGTATTCAAAAATCCTTTGCCCGCATGAAATTCCCAACTGTGTAGATTCCTGTTGAAATGTCTGGATTTTGCCAATGCAAATCAGCTGAACAGCTGTACATTTCTCTGAAATTTCACATACAAAAAGGTCTATTATATCATCAATAGTGTAGCGATGTGTGAAGCACAGTTCACACTGAAGTCACTTTTAAACCAAACAGCATTCTGTTGATCAGTGCGGTGAATCTGTGTGTCCAACTTGTCAAATCTGCATTGGGAAATCTTTTGTCCCTTCACGGAATTCCAGATTGTGTTGATTCCTATTGAAATGCCTGGATTTCACCTGTGAAAATTCGTAAAACAATGGTATTTGACTGCACCTTAAATGTGACTGCACCTCAAATCTGGATACTACGATTTTACTCCCTGGCCGAGGGGACCCTTGGCACGGACGCACTGGCGTACAGCTGGCCTCGGGGCCTATGCAAATATGTGTATCCCCCAGTGAGCCTGCTCACAGAGACACTGTGCAAGGTCAGGGAGTACGGGGAGCAGGTTCTCCTGGTAGCGCCATACTGGCCCAGTCGGACTTGGTTGGAGCTGATGCTCCTCGCGACAGCCCCTCCTTGGCAAATTCCTCTGAGGAGGGATCTCCTTTCTCAGAGAGGGGGCACCCTCTGGCACCCGCGTCCGGACTTGTGGAATCTCCACTTATGGTCCCTGTATGGGAATCGGAGGTTCTAGGTGGGTTACCTCCAGCGGTAGTAAACACCATCACTTCAGCTAGAGCCCCGTCTACCAGACACGCTTATAGGCTGAAGTGGAACCTGTTCGTTGATTGGTGCTCTTCCCGCCGGGAAGACCCCCGTAGATGCCCGATCGGAGTAATGCTTTCTTTCCTGTAGGATGGGTTGGAGTGAAGGCTGTCTCCCTCCACCCTTAAAGTGTATGTTGCCGCCATTGCCGCGCATCACGAGGCAGTAGACGGTAAGTCTTTGGGGAAGCACGACTTGGTCATCAGGTTTCTCAGAGGGGCAAGGAGGTTAAATCCTCCGCACCCTCACCTGTTACCCTCTTGGGATCTCCCCTCGGTCCTCATGGCCCTGAAGGAGGAGCCCTTCGAGCCTCTGCAGTCAGTAGAGCTTAAGTTT